AAAAAAGTTGTGCGACCGTCGCGCGATTCCAAAGGCTACTTGGCAGTATCCAAATGGAAAACGCCCTACAAAACGGACCAATACGCAGCAAAAACGCTCCGGGACCTTTTCATGCGTGGGCTGTTTTGTAATGCGTTTGGGACGGGCAGAAATACGGACAGGTGGGAACGATACCATTGACTACAATGCTATTTATTTTTTTGACCGTTTTGTAGAGCGTTCATCGAGCGTAGGACGCGCTACAAAACGATCAGTTGTGAATGGGGCCTAAGTTATTCAGGTCATTTGCTCTTGCAACACTTTCTAAAACTAGAAACCCATACCTTTGATTACAAAACATGTTTCTATCAGACAAGAAACTTGTTAGGCTTGTTTAATAAATAACCTATTAGTATAATTACACATTGACATAACAACTATATTAAAGTACTATGTAAACAGTCACCAATCCATTCTTCCTTCTTCGCAAAATGATCTTGCAGGTGTCCATAGCTGACAAAATGGAATTAATTAATGTTGGCATCTGTAACTACAGAACATAAATATTCTGGTGGGTTCCACTGGAAATACATATTCAAGTCTGCATGGAAAGCAATAGGATGAGGCTGCTAAGAACCATAGAAATTTAAAAATGGTTAACTGCTCATTTTCATTCATCAACCCCGTCTGGCTACTAGACCAGTCCTGCAGCCTCTTCTTCTCCAAGCTCTGACAGTCTAAGCCCCGCTGACATCATCACCTCTAATGCAGTCCATTTGCTTGCATTAGACATGAGGATGCCGAGGGACATACCACAACTATTGTGGAGGGGGGGGAAGTGAGCACTCATCGCCGCAGGACCGAGGATCAGGCCATTATATTTTCTTTATTCCGGCCCCTAGATAAAAATGAACAGTTAACCCTTGCAGTGTGGGGGTAGCTCCACTGCAAGAGTTAACTTCTAACATAGCTGGAGTTCATTAACTATGTTTGGTGCTCTCAGATGAACGGTGAAGAACCCTCATGTTGAAAATGATTGCAGGTAGAATAGCATTGTGTTCTTCAACCTAAAAAAACTATACCTTCATTTATAAAAGTCCAACATTTAGTGAGTGGTATACCTCCTGGGGGGGTCACCTCACTGCAAGTACTGTACCTGCAGATGTCTGTATATTTATAACTAGCGCTCTCTACTTGTATAATAACTTGCCCACCCCTTCCGCAATGTGTTGACCACAAGCCCCTGGTAAGCAACAGACTGTTCGATGCTCACGGTCCTGTTGACAGATTACCCTGTATGTTCTTCTGATAATAGAGTCCTCCACCAGCAATATCTGTCTCCTCTTTCCATCCTTCCTGCAGAAGTCACTCCCACGGCGGATAGGGGAAGAGTCTTGCTCCAGCCATGCCACCCCTGAACGTATATTCCCAACATCATGCAACCGGGCATATTTATTGGGGTGTATCAATTCAGGACTGCCCTCTCTTGCACTCTTCCCTCTACCCAGTCTTCTAACGGTAACCCAGCTACCCACCTCGGGATCTTGCATCTCCCTATCCCCCTCCACCTCTATACCACCCTCCACCAGAACCTGATGAGTCAGATCCAGACTCTTTTCCATGTTGTTTATGCTCCAAAGTGTTTCCAGTCGAACAACTAGCTCACATCTAGCGCAACAGTATTTGCCCTTGAACACATGTTCAAGAAACGCATACATTGAGCACGATGTACAGAATGCTAAGTGAGGCTGACCAGAGAACTTATGATATCAGCACAACACAATCACTAACAAGGGGTGTGTACTGGAAGGACTAGAACCCTAAACTTCAGAAGGGCCAACTTTGAGAAGCTGCGCAAAGACTGCCAGAAAACTGGAGTGTTTGATCCCATGAAGTGAAACCTCAGTGGTGCTACAGCAGCTTTCAGTGTATTAAAAGCTGCTACAGGGTGGGGAAAGCTGACAAACTGCATAGGGAAAGATTGGGGTAATTTAGGAAACTGTTATCTTAATTCTAATTGCTACCTTTTTGGGTAATCAACCTTTACTGCTTTTGTTATTATTGTGGGCTTCTATGCATTTCATTTGTGGTTCATTTGAGGGCAGATGTCACTTTTAGCTGCTGTACTGTCTAGTGCAAACGTTTTTTGCTGCAACACTTACCTTTAAAATAAAATGGGCTTTTGCTTCAGGGGCATTATTTTGGGGTTTTCATTTAGTTTGTGGGTATATTTTTTTTATGTTGATAGGATATTTTATTAGTTCATCAAGCGACATAGGATCAGTAGAAATCAGGAACATGGGGTTAGACTGCCCCCTTTAGGAGTAATTGGCCGTTGGCTAGTCAAGTATAACCCCTCCCACGCCCATGAAGCTGCAGTTTTTGGTTAGTGTCCTTGGAGGATAGATGTTTTTTCTCTTTAGAGACAAATTGTACCCATTTTTTCAAAAATAGTTACTTTTATCAACACAATTTTTTCTTCAATCAAGAGTCTTCATTAAACTGCTGAGCTGGGACTTATTACACATCTATCAGGATCAGCTGATTCTCAGCGCTGCCTTGGAGGCCATACTTACACTCTGCTGTACCATGGATTAGTGTGACCTTGTGGCACTCCCCATAGACCCAGTGTACTGGTTTGATATTCACACGTTAGCCAGAGTTCAGGTCACAAGAAGACACCCACTTCATCCCAGAAAAAAATATTCCAAAAATAAAAGTACATCAAAAAATTATCCCCCCAAAAAAAACATAAATAAAGCAAGACGCGCACATTCTTACATCATGTTTGCAGTATCATTTTTGTTATATCTAAACAGAAAGCCATCCATGAATCATATCTTAAATACATATTTCCATGACCAAATATCTTATCTCGGTTGTATCCTTGAAATTCTCACAAGATAATCTGCTTTCTGAAGAGTGGATATTAGTTTAGGTGCCGTACAATAATATTTCTTATTTTGAACATGCAGCAATGCGTACGACTAAAGATGCCTCCCCTGGGGACCATTAGGGATATTGTATGGAGGCTCCGATTACATACACCCAAAAACATTTGATTTTTATGGGACAAGCAAACAGATCCTTTCAAACAAAATATAAAATAGTACAATTTATTAGGATATGTATAAAAACAGATTTAGACATCATACAAAATTCCCTATCCATTTCTAAACGTTTTGCCTCTACTGAAGGCCTACCAATGTATCATCCTTTTCTTGTAGTGCATTACCCAACATATATAATTGTTCGTATGTCAAGGTAAATAATAACATGATGGTGGGCCAGAATTTCCCTCAATGCGATTTGTGGAAATACTATCCACTTCTTCAGGAGGACCAAACAGAAGCATATATGACAAGAATTTTTTTTCCAACTTTTAATAAAGCACATAGAGTTACTCATTTCTCACATCCCAGAAATGAGAGTGTGTGTGTGTGTGTGTACACGTACATCGATACAGACTGGGTTTAGAGTTACTAGATACACTGATATTCTCAATGTATCAAGTTACAAAAATAAAAGCCCCACACAGTTAATACAGCGGGGGGGCAACAAACACTTTCATAGAGCATGGTCGTTTCTGCTTTCTCAGGGTACATATTATTCCCCAGATCTCTAACAGACACATCAATAAATAAATATTTATTTTAATCATGTGAAAACAAATCTAGAATAAATAAAAAAAAAAAAAAGGAAAGAAGCATGAAAAAAAACAACTTATAGCGATACACTTTTCTAAGTTACTTTATACAGGTACAAAAATTCTCTCTACCCTGCCAGTGAAAACCACTTAAGCTCTAGAGCTGGTGTCATGGATGGGCATTAGGATGCAATTCCTCCTCAAAATGAATTGTGTACCACCCCTATATTTAGTATTCCCTATCATTTCTTCCATAGTAAGGGTGCCCACCTATTAGTTACCATGTCACTACTTATAGTTCAGTGCCTTTGAGACAAAATTCCGTAAAAATAAAAAAGCAAACTATCTATAATAAATGGCAATTATGCACATATCACCTTTGTCTGCCAAATTTTGCAGTTTGAGGGCTTGTTCACACTGAAAGCGGTGCTTTCCAGAGCGGTAGCTGCTGTAGCTGTAACGAAACTTCCACCGCTTTGTGGGGCGGGAGG